GGACCTCGCACAAGTACGCTCTCAGCTCCAACTCCAACTCTTCTAGAGCTAGCACCTCCAGGGTCCTCGCCACGAACACCGGCTCCCGAAGGGTTTGCAGTAGGCTGTGAGGAGGACTGCGGAGAAGGAGGCTGCACCTGAGGGGCTACCGAGGGGGGAAGGGTAGCGTGGGACACACTTGACGGGGCTGGACCAGGGGGGGGAGGCTGTACCGGGGGAGCAGGAGGGGGAGCTGAAGTCAAGAAGAGAGGGGGAGGGGGAACCGGGAGACCTCGACAGGGGTACCGGGCATAGTAGGGGACGGACTCGTCAAAACGGACATCACGGGAGTCAAAGAACTGGTGAAGGGGAGGGAGGTAAAAGGTGAAGTCAGAGGAGTCCTCTGGGAAACCAAGGAACACGCAGGAAACAGCGCAAGGCGAGATCTTGTCCGCGGAGGTGTCGCGAACAAGTGCCAAGCAACCCCAGACACGAAAACGCGACGCAGCACCAGGGGACCCGGTCCAAAGACTGGTCGGTGAAACCTCTGGCCGAGAGACACGGGGCCAGAGGTTCAACTGGTGAGCGGTGTACCGAACTGCGTAGGGCCACAGAAAATGGAGGGCACGGGCGTGAATCAAGGAGGTGCGGGAAATCTCCATGACCAAGCCTATGCGGCGCTCAGCAACCCCATTTTGCTGTGGGGACTCTGGAAGTGTCCAGGACTGCCGAATGCCCTGCTCGCGACCTAATCCAGCGAGAACGCCGGAGCGAAACTCACCCCCGCGGTCAGAGTGAAGATAGCTGACACGACGACCACGAGTGTCCGCAGTGGTAAGTAACCACCGGATCAGTGTAGAAGTCACATGGGACTTCTTCGCCAGGGGGAACACTATGGTGTAGCGGGAGTAGTCGTCAACGACCACCAGAAAGAAACTCTCTCGCTCATGGCCAGGGCGAGCAGCGGGGCCCCAGACGTCCAAGTGGAGAGTCTTGAAGGGCTCGGTGGCCGGACAAAGGGAGGAGGAGTGAGGGGTGGCGCGCAGCCGACCCTCGACGCAGGGACCGCAAGGTGGTGCAAGCGAAGGCGGTAGCGATGGCAAGACTCGCGGGAGGCCTAAGACAAGACGCTGACTAGACATAGCGCGCAGGCGAGGAATGGACGGGTGCCCCAAGCGGTGGTGCCACAGAACGGTGGGGTGAGCAAGCGACCGGCAGGAGCAAGACGCAACAGCTGAACCAGACACGGGAACCTGACCAAACACAGCTAACTGGTGAGACACGGCAACCTGGTGACAGGGGGCAATGACAGTGGTCGGGGGACGTAGCTGCTGCTGCTGCTGCTGCTGCCCTCGAGGGCCAATGTGAAGTGTGTAGAGACCAGAGCCCGGCTCAGCAGTAAAGGTGGCCAGAGGCGCGTACGTGTCCCCGTCGACACGAACCGTAGTCTCGCCAGAAGGCTCAATCCACACACCCACGTGACTAATCACGAGCGGCCTCACACCCACCAAGTTCCTGGAGAACGAGGGGACGTGGAAGCCCGTCAGGAAACCCGAGGGAACTGCTGGGCACGGGAGCGTTGTAGTGTAGCGAGCAGTGACTGGTCCCGAAGTGGGATCAGCCAGTGCTACAGAGACCAGCGCAGGAAGCAGAGTAAGCGTCGTGTGGTCGCGGAAGAAACAATGCGAAGCTCCTGAGTCCAGAGTGAAAGACAGCGAAGTGTCCTCCGGAGCAGCTCCTAGAATAGTGTCTACACAAGTACCTACGCTAGCAACACGTACCTCAGCAACACTAGCACCTAAGCTAATAACACTCGAGTAAACAGAGTGAGAAGCACTAGAGTCAACAACAGCATACATAGCATGAGGAGTTCCTAAGAGATCAAGCAACTAAGAAGCCGACATGCCCCACAGAGCGGGGCCGTACGTATGAACAAGGGGAAGCCAGTCAGGGGCTGGGCCGCCAACGCCGTAGGCCGCACGAAGTGTGTCTGTGAGCTGAGAAAAGCACTGACCCGGTGGGTGGGTGCGGCCATAGGGGAGGCCTCGGCGAGCACCTGTCTGAACGAGATAGGTGTAGGGAGGGTGGATGGCACCACGCAACGGCTGACGCGGTCCGGACCCCTGTCCCGGAGTCTGCTGCTGCCGCTGCTGCTACTGTGGCTGCTTTGAGAGGAGTGGCTGCTGCTGCTGCTGCCGGTGAGTCAAGTACTAAGCTGCCACTCTAGCATCTGCAGCTGGTGGACCAGCAGGTGCCTGACGAACCCGAGTGTCACCTCCACCAGCTGCAGCAGGGGAGTCACTAGCCGCTGCACGAGTGGCTCCTCCAACCTCTGTACTCCAGCCACCGCCGCCTCCGCCCACACCCTGACCGCCCCTCCTGCCACTCCTACCCCTAGACCGCGAAGAATTCGTAACAGCAGCTGCGGTCACGTCAGTAGCGGCAGTGGCGAGGGAGGCAGTAAAGGTAGGCAGCTGAGGGACAATGCATTTGTGAAACAGTGGAGGGGGCACAACACTAGAGGTGGAGGCTACCGATCGGAGGTTGCTCTCGACGTCCTTGAGGGCAGACTCAAGGACCTCGATAGTGAGCTTGCTAGGGTACTTCAGAAGAAGCGCGTCACGAACCGAGGCAAGGCGGTCAGGGAGGCTAGTGGCGATGAAATAGATAGTAATCGCCATAGGGGGAGGGAGCAGTGCAAGCCGTGCGTCAGTGCAGGCAGCGCGGTAGCTATAATCGAGCGAGCGCAGGTGAGCGATCAAGTCAGCAGAGCGCTCAAACGAGGCGAGGTCAGGAAACAGGTACGGGAGGAACAGGCGAACAAGAGAGACAGTGGTGGGAGTAGCGTAGCGGGCCTTGATCGCAGTCAGGAACTCACTAGCCAACCTGAGTGAAGTGGGCCTCCTCAGACTCAGGGAGGAGGCTGCTAAGGGCGATGCAGGCTGCAGCGTCACGCGACTGTCAGAATCACGAACGAGAATGAATGAACTATGAAACAGTTGGGTACAAGTACTAACCCTAATTGGGTTGTACCCCTTATGGGCTACCCCACTATAGCCTACACAAATGTAAGCACTATGACATTCTGACAGCGACTTCCACGCGGTCAGGTCAGCACGCTGGCGGGCATAATGGTCTCTGTCTGCACTGCTTGGGTCAGCGTCTAAGGGTGCAGGGTCGTCGGGCTTAGGAAGGTCGCTGGAAGCGTGCGCCCACAGAGAATCATCTGCCTGAACCTGACTTTCTAAAAGGCGGCGCGCACGCAGGAGCCAGACCGAGAACTCGAGCATCCTAACCTCGTCATCAAAGCGCAGGACCCTAGGGGTCGCCATAGCGGAAGCAAAGAGGTGGGAAGTGCTGCTGCCGAAACCCTAAACACTTAGAGCGGCTTAGTAGGGCGTGACTGGCAGAGTTGGAGGCCTAGGGCGCTACGGGACGCAGGGTAGGGCGCGACACGGTGGGACTTCAAGGGCGCGGCGCTACGGGCAGGGGTAGCGCGACGTGACGGGACGGGCAGTGCGACGCGACCGGACAAGACGGGCAGGCACGACGCGGCGGGACGGGACGGGCAGCGCGACGCGGACGGACAGTGCGACACGGCGGGACGGGACGGGATGGACGGCGTGACGCGGCGGGACGGACAGGCGCGGCGCATGCGACGGGACGGGACGGACGCGACGCGACGGGACAGCAGGGGCGACGGGACAGCAGGGGCGACGGGACAGCAGGGTCGACGAGACAGCAGGGGCAACGCGACGGGACGGGACAGCAGGGGCGACGCGATGGCACGCGCAGCGAGCACTAGGGCACGAGAGAGACGAGCACGATAGGCGCTAGGGGACAGTACGGGCGTAACGGGCACTAGGGTACGGAACAGGCTCGGGCGCTACGGACGTGAACGAGAGGAACGGGATCGCACAGGATCCTAACCTAGGTGATACCATGTTAAGAACGGAATGGTGATTTCACTAAGGTCGGTTGGGGTACATAAACCTAACCCTAACTGTTGTACCCCATATGACACACATCACTAAGACTAAAACATCTGACAGCGTCTGCTGTCCTCATCATTCACTCCTGTGAGGTGTCTGCTGGACGATCGTCACGATAGCATGTGTCCTGCGCAATTTTGTCCGACGATGGTTGTGTGGTGAATCTGCTGCTTGAATTGAGGTGTTTTGGTCGAGATGACCCCCGCAGTGTGCTCACCTGGTACAGTTGCAGCAAACGATGGAAGTCGGAAAACACTGTACACTTCGACTGAGCTATGCTTTCCCGCGGTACAAGAAGATCTGACAAGTTGATCCATGGCAGGCCCCCAGAAGTCAGAAATTTCTCTGATTTGCCTAAAAAACTCTGATATTTCAGCCTTTTTTCGAAGTGAACTCTGAAAATTCAGCCTTTTTTTGAGAAAAACCAGGAAAACTGCTATTTTTTCTAGTGTGCAGTGGTATTTCTGCAGGAAAAACTCTGATTTTCAGATATAAGTCGTGTACCAACTCTGATTTTTCAGACTAGCCCACAACCAATCTGAGGGCCTGATCCATGGTCACCTCGATTTGCCTCTAGCAATTGAGCAGTAAGCTCAAACTGAGAACAATATTTACAACCATACAACAACATACTGTCTGAATAGAGTCATTGCAATGTACAAAACAACTATTTGGAATGCGAGCAGAAAATCTGTACCTCTTCTCTATTTCCAAACTGAGTACTTCAAAAAAGAGAGAAAATGGCTTCAATCTTGTCGACCGCAATGTGGAAGGAGCCCAGTGACGCAGCAAGAGAAGAATCAGCAAACCAATGAGAAAAGGACCTGCACGCAATGGCAGATGCAAAGCACATGTAAGGAAACCAGACTGTTAGACCCCTTCTCCAATTATTACACTCAGGGAATGCTTCATGGTGCTCAACCATTGCATCACCAAATGCACCATGGTGGAAAACACCCATGCAACACTTCCGGATGCGATGCAAGTCACTGTCACTCACCCAAATCACTACAAGTTTATGCCACTCACCCGATGCACCATGGCATGGAGTAGCGCATGGAGCTGGTGAGTCTCACATCCATGCCATGCCACATGGGCACACACGCCTTGGCCCTCGCCACCTGCACCACACCACCACCGCCGCTCCCTGCTGCCCCACCCCCCTGCTGCTCCACCTCTCCCCTCCCTGCACTCCACAGACCAACTTCCCCCGGACTGGAGTCTGTACTCTCACACACACCACCCCTGCCATTCCCTCCCCCATCAACAGCCAATCCATTGCTTGTATTCACATGACTGGCCCTCATGTCGCCCCCACCAGCTGAACCCGCACCTCTGCTAGCACCAGTTTGCACCTCCCTGTCACGAATGCTGCTGCCATTTCTGTGTGGCCGTGTGAGCCGGGTGCTGCTCCACCGGCATGCACAAGTGTGGGCGGCGGAGAAGGGGCTGTGCAGGAGCAGGCGGAGGTGCGAGGTGGAGGACGGCCAGTGGTGGGAGAGGTGCAGCTGGGAAAGAGGGCATGGGGGAAGTGGGTGGGAGGTGGATGGGAGGAATGGGCAAGAGGAAGAAGGGAGGTCAAAATATAAAGCATACATGAAAATATCTACCCAAGCTGAGATGACAAGCATTCAACCTGTGTTGGCACATGACCCAGCGCATACAGCAAACCCCTTAGGTTTATACACCAGCACGTTTCCAATCAATCCTCTCACACACAAGCATCCTAACCAGCATATTCAATCAGCAGCATACACTCATCCACCCACAGTCCTCACCCGAGCGTCAGCCAGTCCCAGCAGGCCCACCCGTCCAGATGCCACCTGCACCGTACCCGCCACAGGCATCACCTGCACCTTGCCCCCTCCCACCGCCGCCCGGGCAACACGGGTCACCATGCTCGCGAGCCTGGCAGCCGGGCTGGCTGTGGTGGGTGCCGGGTGCTTTGAGGCGGCTTTGGAGGTAGGGGATGGCTTGATGACGACCTTGATGTCTGCGGGGTAGGCCTGTGTGCGATGGCAGATGAATGGACATCCATACGAGAGGGAACACGTATGCAGGTGTAGGGAAATGCATGGGTAGCATGAGCACAAACGCTTTGAGGAGGCCTTGGGAGGAGGGTCAGGGGGGATAGCTTGAAGACAACCTTGATGTCTGCGGAGTAGGCTTGTGTACGATGGGAATGAACATCCATGCAAGGCAGAAAAGGCATGCAGCTTTAGAGGAGGGGAGGGGGGGGATGGCTTGATGATGACCTTGACGTCCGAGGGGGAGGCCTGCGTGAGATGGTGGATGAATGAAAATCTATGCGAGTAGAGAAGGGAGAATTGAAACTGTGGTCTCAAGCATGCTCGAACAAGGTACCAAGTAAAAAGCGTCACCTCCAGTAGAGGAGAAATTGAACTCACCAGGATGTCACAGTCACAATGCATCAGGGTGAGTGCTGACTGCACCACACTGAGTGCTGACTGCACCACACTGAGTGCTGACTGAGCACTGTACAGTCAGGCGATACCAAGACAAGACATAGACAAGACAGACGGTGCCATTGACCTACCTGATAGGGGCCGACGGATATGAGGGGGCGGCTCTGCCTCAGGCTTCTGGCGCTGGTGAGAGTGTGGAGAGGCACTGAGGGGGAGGATGGAGAGACAGGTGGTGCGATGGCAGAGGGGATGGCTGGAAGGTCGTGGTGGGAATGGCGGAACTGATGGGGGTTCAGAGACATGGGAGAGAGAAGGAGTAAGAGGGAAGTTGGGCATAAGAGCAGGAGTGAGTGGGGGGAGGGTGTGGGAAGGAAGTGAAAAGCGGGAAGGGAGACGCTGGCAACGGAATGCATGTGGAACAGGAACTAAGGGAGGGAAAATAATCGTGTGACATGTAGCATTATGTCACATTGCATAATGTCACACACCATATCATAATGTCGAAAGTGCTTTACTTTACAGTGAAAGGGCTGGTACAGGTGATAGACATGCAGCAACAGGAGCACACACGCATGTGAAGCAAACAACTCTGTGAGGAATCATGAACCACTCACAATCATGCACCACTCACAATCATGCACCACTCACAATCATGCACCACTCACAATCATGCACCACTCACAATCATGCACCACTCACAATCATGCATGTACGCATGCACAGAGGAAATCGTTAAATCACCTGGAAGTTGAATCCGAGTCGATACAGCCCCAAGCTCTGCTGGAATTTCACCAGAAGCCTCTCAGGCACCCAGTCCAACGACACACACTCCCTCACCGCCCCCACCACGCCCCTCCCTCCTCCCCTCCTCCCATCTCCACCATCCCCCACACCTCCACCCTCTCTAGTCACTGCAACATCTCCATCTCCTTCCCCTCTCCTCCTCTCAGCCCCAACTACACCCCCTCCTGTACCCAAGCCAGTTCTCCACCGCTCTGCACCACCTTCAACACCCACCCCTGCCCGTGCTTCGTGGTAGCCACTGCCTGCACTGCGAGCCTCAGGCTGCGCCACAGCACCCGCCTCAGCACCCGCCTCAGCACCAGTCATCTCCCACACGGGTGGAGCAGAGGGGCGATGAAGCCATTCCCACCCGCCCTCACACACAACCACCCCATGCCCCTCCCCCTGCCCCGGCCCCTGCCCCTGCATCTGCATCTGCATATCACCCACACCTCGCCCTTTCCTCCCTGCCTGCACAACAGCTCCCGTCTGTGCCTCCCCATCACTTCCTCCACCCTCCCCATGCCGTGCTGCTACCCCCTGCACCCACCACCACCCGTCCCTTCCCCCGCTGCACTTCTCTGTGCCCTGCCCACGCATCTCCTGCTGTCCGCCTTGCACACCTTTCACATGCTCCTGCTCGTGTTCGTGCGCACGCTGCCAGCCCTCCCCTCTCCCATTACCACTGACCCTGCCTTTGCTCTGCTCGCCTCTGCTGCTTCCAACCCCCACGCCCTTTGCATGCCCGTGCTGCTGTCTGCTCTCCGCGCCTCTCGCCTGTTCGTACGCGCGCTGCCACTCCTCCCACGACACTGACACGGCGGGCGAGCCATCCTCGTTATAAGCTGAGTGGAGGCGACTGGACTGGCTTGCTTGGCCGTCCGGCGGTGCTGTGCTGCTGCTGAGCCACGCGGAGAGAGCAGTCCTGCGGGGATGATCGGATAGTGCGGGAGAAAGGGCATGAGCGAGAAAGCGAAGGTGCTTGACGTGTGCTTGAGTCGACTCAACAAGCGCCAGCCATGCGGAAGGAGGGGTTCCTCTGAGGGCGATCGGGTAGTGGGGAAGAAAGGGCATGAGCGGGAGAAACGCCGCGTGTGGGAGAATAAAAAGGTAACCGACATAGAGGAAGAGCGGTGAAGTGTCGGGCACATAGTGACGTGTCAGGCCACGGATTAGAGATTCTGCCACAGCCTACGCAACGGTAATCAAAACTGAGGTACCTCATCGGCCAGTCTCTCCCGTCTGCTCCGCTCTGCAACCTTTCGCCGCGCGCGAGCAACGGCCCGCAGAGAGCGCGCAGGGTTTCGATCGCCTCGCCTAAGTGTTCGATCGCCTTGACGCTTCGCCAACAAATTCGTTAGCTGCTCGCGCGCCGATGGGACCCCTCTCGGCGATTAAAGATCAGGTGATTCGATCGTGAGACGGAGAGTTGAGCTGCAGGAACGAGTGGTGCTATCATGAGATTTGAAGCACCAAACTGTCAGAGCTTGAAGGCCGTGTCAGATCATGCTAGACGGTCGTGCATGATCACATCTTCGCGCTCAGGCGGTCCTTTCTCGAGCGGAATCGTTTGCGCGTGCGATCCGGAGGGCGTCCCTTCGCCCTGCCTGATGGCGCTGCCTTGCCTCGCGCACTCCGCTCTTCTGCGCGCTCCGTCCTGCATGGTGTTCTGAGTCGCGGCGCGTCCGCGCGGGGATGTCATCCCTCCTGACCACATGACAGCGTGCGTCATGCGCTGCGACGCGACACCTCGCGATTCGTCGAAAAAGGTGCAAAATGAATCTGAAAAAGACGAAACGACACGTCATGCATGTCAAGTCAGCAACGTCAATTGGCAGAAACGCGACGTGATGTGAAACTGGTAGGGCTGCTTATGAGGTTCAGCGTGACTCATTGGTCTTGGTGTTGGGTGCGGTGCTGACAGATACGGCATGGTGTAAAACGAAGACTTGTGATTGATGTTCCAGGTTTGGTGAAGCAGCAAAATTTTCACCAACCAAACAGCTAATGAAAATGCTCTCCGCTCTCTCCGCCTTACTAGAGGACTGTGTATGCTAGAGGCAGTCCTGGGAGACTGTGAGGGCAAGTGAGGAGGCAGGAAAAAACTGCATGCTAGAGGCAGTCACAGAGGGCAAGTGAGGAGGAGGAGAAACTGTGAGGGCGAGAAGATGGGAGGCGACGGCTGAAGCTGCACACAGGCAGCAGGAGTGCGCAGCACTGTCGCTACCAGGCTAAACCCGGACTACACGGCGACAGGCGCAGCTGACTCACTGATCTCCCAGGAGTGCACACACTGTGGCTACCGGGCGCAGAGCCCCGGACTACTCAGGCCACAGGGGGTCGTGGCTCTCTGGACTACCAGGAGTGCTCACACTGTGGCTACCGGGCGCAGAGCCCCGGACTACTCAGGCTACAGGGGGTCGTGGCTCTCTGGACTTCAGGCGCTGCGGACGACAAGTCGGCTACCTCCGGTCAACCTCCCCCAACTGTCCCACACCCCGTTCACACACTCCCTGCTGCACCTCTAGCACTGCTCACACGCCACCCCCCTCGAACGACTCCGACGGCTCCAACACATCCACCCCCCTCAGCGGCAGCTGCAGCAGTGGGAGACGGAGGAGGAGGAGGAGAAGGGGACGGCTCACACACACGGCACCCCCATACTCTCCACCCCCAAACCCTAACACAGGAACGCAGCAGCAGCGGGGGTGGGGCGCAGTCAGGAGCTCGAGGGACGGCATGCGGCAAGGGGGGAGACAGTACGGGCCGCTCACGGGCCTGGTGCAGCCCGTACGAACCGCGCGCGGGCCTGGCGCAGCCCGTACGGGCCGCGCGCTGGGCTGGCGCAGGCCGTACGGGCCGCGCGCGGGCCTGGCGCAGCCCGTACCGGCCGCGCGCGGGCCTGGCGCAGGTCGCGCGAGCCGCGTCGGGCGACGGGGGGCGACGCGACGGTTCGACGGGGCAGGCGCGCGGCGGGAAGAAAAATCGTTGCGCGCCCGGAGCGCGCGGCAGGCAGGAAAAAGCATGCGCCCGGGGCGCGCTACAAGCAGTAGAGCAGCGGAAGCATCGGGTGGGACCCACCCACAGGATCGACCCAGGAGGGTCGACCTGCTCTAATAGCATGTTGTAATGCTAGGCAGAATCAAGAAACAGGAAAAAGGGGGTTTTCACTAGCATGCAGTTCAGTTATATAGCAAACCCTAATTCGGGCTGTACTCGCTATAGAGTACCCCACTGCAGGCTACACAAACATCACATTCTGACACTCGGCACACTCTCCTGCTGCCTGTTCATCTTCATAATCGCACAATGTCTCATCCGGCTGATGTCCCGGCTCTGCCTAAGGGTCAACGCTCTCGTCCTGCGCTTGACCCGCCTGCTACCACGGATGTTGTTAGCTCCACCGGCCTTCATGCTCCTGCAACCAATGACAAGGACAAGGCTGCTTCGTCAGCTGCTGGCGGATCTGGGCTTTCTGTTGCTGACAAGGCCACTATTCACTCGGTGGGACTCACCGTTGATGACGGCTTCATCGACGATGCCTCTGATGATGAGATGGTCATTGATCTGGTTAAGGAAGCTGACTCTGGTTTGCGCTTGGTCGCCATCTTGTTGATTCCTTTCATGTTGCATAAGGAAATTTCCTGTGTGATTGATGCTATCATGGCACTGATAAAACACGGATGGTACACAGAGTTATCAGCTGACGCTGCGACAACGACCAAGTTTCAACAGCTTCATATGGCTTATATTGCCAAGACGCGCTTCTGTCGCCTGCAAGTTTCATTTGTCAAGGAATCTGATGCGGAATGGGTGCGGAAGAAAGAAGTCATTTATCAGCCTCTCACGAATCAGGCTCAACTCATTATGCTTCATTGGCAACAGACCGAGGACTCAACCTTCGCTCGCGAGAAGGCACTGAACCCGCAAGCTATCGAGTTCATGATCATGGATGTTTCTGCTGCTGTCGAACTGACCCTGAGTCACGACCGTATGGTTACTTACCTGCTCACGAGTACTCGGCGGTCGGCGTTCCTGCGTTGCACCTGTCTGCACTGTGTGTCAAACTTATATGCTATAGTCTATTTAGGCTGTAGTGGGGTAGTTCTTATAGGGTACAACACTTTTAGGTTTCCTACTTGTACCCACCTGCTTTCTAGTTCAGCCATTCATTCGTTCTACATTCTAACATGGTATTCTGAGCAGGTTCCCTAGTGGGAACGTTTTTTTTTTAGGGCCCACCACGATTTTTTTTTCCTGCCCTGCCCGAAGCGCGCCTCGCGCCCTGCCCTAGTACGGCCCGTTGCGGCCCTGCCTTAGCTGGCCCGTCGCGGCCCCTGCTGCCGTCGCGGGCCCTACTGCCATCGCGGCCCCTCCTGCCGTCACGGCCCTACCTGCCGTCGCGGCCCCTACCGCCCGTCGCGGCCCCTACTGCCGTCGCGACCCCAACTGCCGTCGCGGCCCCTACTGCCGTCGCGACCCCAACTGCCGTCGCGGCCCCTACTGTCGAAGCGGCCCCTGCTGCTGTCGCGGCCCCCGCCCGTCGCAGCCCCTGCTGTCGCGGCCCAGCCGTCGCCGCCTGTCGCGGCCCTGCCGTCGCCGCCTGTCGCGGCCCCTGCTGCCGTCATGGCCCCTACTGCCGTCGTGGCCCCTACTGCCGCTGCGGCCCCTGCTGCTACTGCGGCCCCTGCTGCCGCTGAGGCCCCTGCTGCCGTCGCGGCCCCTACTGCTGACGTGGCCCCTGCTGCCGTCGTGGCCTCTGCTGCCGCCGCGGCCCCTGCTACTGTCGCAGCCCCAGCCGTCGAGGCCCCTGCTGTCGCGGCCCCTGCTATCGCGGCCCCTGCTGTCGCGGCCCCTGCTATCGCGGCCCCTGCTATCGCGGCCCCTGCGGTCACGGCCCCAGCTGTCACGGCCCTGCCCTGCACCCGGCCCTGCCCTGCACCCACCACCTCTACCGCTGCCCCCACCACCGCTCCCACTGCCACCTCCACCACCACCGCTGCCTCCTCCACCAACCCGGCCACCCTTGCCGTTGCTGTTGCGGCGCTTCGCACTAGTCGAAGCAGCACCGACGTTCTCAGTAACAGAGACGTCTGCAGCAGCAGCAGAGGCAAAGGAGGGGGAAAGGGGGGAGGGGGAGCACCCCTCAAAGAAGGGCGAGCGCGGAGTGCCACGAGCAGCACCTACAGCAACTGCACTAGTTTCAGCTGCGAGGAGATACTGCTCAAGGAGGTCAACAGTGAGGGAGGTGGGGTCTAGTGTGAGAAAGTGGTCCCTGACAGAGCGAAGGGAGTCAGGGAGGCGAGTAACTACGAAGTAGAGAGTGATGTACATCGGGGGCGGGTTCCCTGCAAGGAACTCGGCTGGGAGGGCAGCGCGGTAGCGAGCGTCGCTAGAGCGCAGGTTGGTAACCAGGTCCGCTACTGTGGCAAAAGCCGACAGCTCAGGGAACAGGTAGGGCAGTAGCAGCCTGCCAAGAGCAGCAGTGGCAGGGGAGGAGTAGCGAGCAACGACAGCGTCGTACAGGGCCTGTGCTGTCCTGTGCTCTCCAAAGTGAGCACATTCGGTCACGGGCAGGTGGTTGCGAATGGCTAAACGGACAGTAGCATCACGAGACAGCCACTGGGAACGAGTCGAACCGTCAGCTGTGGCGGGAGGGGCTGGAGCGACACCGGACACGTGGTCAAACAGTGAGACACTGTCCTTACTATCGCTCAATAGGTACAGTTGCAGATCGTCGTGCCACGTGTCCAATGCAACCGGTCTGCCCTCCTGATCGAACGCTAGAACCCTAAGCGAAGCCATAGTGGCGCAGGACTCAGGAGCAGCAGTAGCAGTAGTAGCAGTAGTAGCTAAGGGGCCAGGGGGCGGGGCCGAGGGGCCTAGGGACCGAGGGGCCTAGGGACCGAGGGGTCTAACACGAGGGTGGCGGGGCCGAGGGGCCGAGGGGCCAAGGGTCCTAGGGGCCGAGGGGCCGAGGAGACTAGGTGCCGAGGGGCCAAGGGGTGGGGCCGAGGGGCCAAACACGAGGTCAAGGGGCCAAGGGGCCTAGGGGCCGAGGGGCCAAACACGAG